GTTATCTCATATTTTTAAACCATGTTTGCTCAGACAATGCCAGCTATTACTGCAATTAGTAGAGGAGAGGCAGTGCCCGGTTTGCAAATGGGCTCTGTTTGAATCCATTTGCAAGTTGATCTGTATGCAAGCTGGAGCGCAATGCATGATAATATAAAAGTAGCTCTTTTTAAGTACAGGAAATATCTGCATGTCAGATCTTTAAAATGACACCCCTGTATGGGATTGTGCTCAAAGTACAACCATTTGTAAGTCAGACGTTCGTATGTCAGGTCCCTTTGTACTGATACTTTCACTTCAACCTAGTTTTCAAAGGTAAAATGATCAATAACACAAGGGAAACCTACACAGAGGCTTCAAGTTCATAATACCAACTGAAGAAGCTTGAATTGTGTGTTCCTCATGTTACACAAAACCCATAAAAGCACACAGCACTGTAAGCTTTGTTAATAGGGGGACACAGTACAAAAGCAGTGAGGTTATGCTGAACTTACACAGAACAGTAATTAGACCTCAGCTAAAGTACTGTGTACAGTTCTGGGTACCACATGTTAGGAAGGCGGTGAACAAATTGGGGTGAGTGCAGAACAGGTTGAGGAGGCTGTTTAGAGGTATGAAATACTTCAATTAGAGGGTAGATTAGAGAAGTTAGGAATGGTATCCTTGGAGAGAAGATAGTTGAAAGGAAATTTGATAATAAAAGTCTTCAAAATCATCTGTGGTCAGGACGGAGTAGACAGGGAGAAACTACTCCCCCTCATAAGAGGATCAAGAATCAGTTGACACAGACTTAAAATGTTCTGCAAAAGAAGCAAATGTGAGATGAGAAAATTCTTTTTCATACAGTGAATAATTAGGGTCTAGAGCTCACTGCATGTAAAGGTGGCAGGGCAGGTTCAATTGAGACATTCAAGAGGCCATAAGATGATTATTTAAACTGAAACAATGTGCAGGTTTATGGCAAAAAGACAATGAAGCCAAAATGCTCAGAGACCTGGCATGGACATGATGGGCCCAATGGCCTCCCTTTGTACTTTAACAATTGAGATTTTGAATTCTGAATGCTAACAACGTAACCCTTGGTCAACACTGAATACATGTAATCTCTAGCTAAGACTATCTTTTGACATTACTTATAAAAGTTACCAAACTGCAGCTGGTCTCTGTTAATTATTATTGCGTTGTATGTATCCACATGATAGTTGAGGTCATCATCATGCCTACCGGTAGTCTGTGGCTGTTTAAAAAGTTTAAAAACTACAACAAATATGAAATATAAACTTACAAATTGCAGAACAATTTACAGTCTCAAGTAAGCACGATTGCAAACACTTTGGCATTTCAACTTATTTATAGTCAGAATGCCTGGTTTTGATTGACCAACCTCAAAAGTCAAAGACAGGAAAAAAAAAATCTATGTTGCACATTGGAGAAAGAAATTATGAAGTCAATTGTAGGAGTTGCCATTGAGATTTCAAATTGCAGAGGCTTTCAGGAAAAAAATGGGTGTATTACTAAACACACTTTTGGTGGGAAAGGAGGAGGAAAAGTATGTTTAGGAATGGAAGATACTTCAATCTATCCTAACAACAATGATAATAGCTACATAATGGAACATTTTGTCAGGATAGAATCTATTCAAGGATCACCAAAGTGGCAGCAACATTTACATTTTTACTGAACTGTCAAAGAATTGTATTTTCTTCAAGGGTACATGTGGTAAATTAAGTATTTGACAGAGATAACTCCCACTTAACATACATCTTTAGATTATAGCGTTGCACCCTGAAAAAGCCTTAAGACAGGGGATTTAATTATTTAAATTATTGCACAAAAATATTTGGCACTTCTTAACAATCAAGACAGTGAGAAAAGGTTCCTACCTTTATCATTCTAGAAAGATCTCCAGCATCTGCCAGTTCCAATACAATGTTTAGCTCATTGTCTTCAATGAATGATGCAAGATATTTGATTACATTTGCATGGTTCAGTTGCTGTGAAATACACAGAAGCATAAATCATTTAATTGATGTCATTGTGGATTTTCAATGTCCGCAATTTCACAATTGGATTAATCATAATTTTGGCATTATTCCACATAATGATGAAACACGGTATCTTTAAAATAACTTTCTGAACACCTATTTTAGGCATTCTGAACTATGCAGATTCTTTATTTAGCCATTATGTTGTAAGATTGTTGTTAAACCCTGCCATGTTCCTTGTTCTAGTTGTGCCACGGCTGTGATGAGATTTCATTTAGTGCAGCACATAAGTCTGTCCTCAGTCTGAGTCAGTGAGCTGTAGAGATCAAGCAGAGATCCTCTAAGTAGCCTTGGAAAAAGATTCTGAAAATACTACGTTTTTTCTGTATTTATTTTTTCATAAATATTATTTCATATTATTGGCAAGGCCACTATTATTTGCCCATTTTTAATTGCCCACTGAAATAAATGTCTTCCTGAGGACAATTCAGAGGGCACTTAAGCATCCATTACATCATTGAGAGTCTGAAGCTAGAATGGATCTTGAGTCACACGTAGGCCAAACGAGGTATGGGCAGCAAATTTCCCTTCTCTAGAGAAGCAGATAAGATTGCACGACAGTTGATGATTGTCACAGTCCTATTACTGAGATGAGCTTTCAATTCCATATTTTATTAATTTGAGTTGAAAATCCATGGTGTGGTTGGATATGCACGAGTGGTGTCTAGCTTGAGCCTCAAGATTATAGACGGAAGTTACATGTGCAGGGAAGGGAGAAACCTTGGGACAAGGTTGGCCAATTTGAAAAGGATGTCCTGGCAGTAGGTATCCTCCCAGCTCATGAACGAAGCTTGGGCAGAGTAACTTACAAAGCATCTCCCACACTCCTAAATTTGTCCTTCCAACCACAAAATCTATGTCAGGTGGGAATCAACCCTTAAATGGTCGTTCATTGGCACGTACCCTTGGGCTTTTCTTACCCACCAAAAAAACTGCAGGCAAGCCAAAGCTGTGTGGGCCACCATGCAATTTTGCAAGCTCCCCAATGCAATCCAACAACAGGAGAATGTTAACTTCTTCCCCATGAAGAAGACTTTATTTATTATCTTAAAACCCTTCATTGTTGTGAAGGTTACTGCATATTTGAAATCTTAGAAACAACTTTTGTAAAGCATCACTTCCCTCAAGTCTCATCTATAACATGGATTTGATAGGTCTTTGTCAATTTCTGTAGTTGAGTTCCAGTAAAACAACTGATATTTAAAGCAGTAAGCCAAATAATCTCCAAGAATTCATTACACCAAAGTAAAGCTCAAAGCTTATTTTAATAAGCTATGTGGAACTCATAACTATATGTATTATTTATTAGCCTTTGAAGTAGTTATATTAACCCAAACAAACAGAAAATTCTGGAGAAACTTGGCAGATCTAGGGCGACATGGTGTCTCAGTGGTTAACACTGCTGCTTCACAGCGCCAGGAACCCGGGTTCGATTCCACCCTCAGGTGACTGTCTGTGTGGAGTTTGCACATTCTCCTCTTGTCTGCGTGGGTTTCCTCCGGGTGCTCCGGTTTCTTCCCACAGTCCAAAGATGTGCAGGTTAGGTGGATTGGCCATGCTAAATTGCCCATAGTGTCCAGGGATGTGCAAATTAGGTGGGTTATGAGGGGGTGGGTCTGGGTGGGATGTCCGAGGTTCGGTGTGGACTTGTTGGGCCGAAGGGCCTGTTTCCATACCATAGGGAATCCATGAATCTGGCAGCACCATGGAGAGAGAAAGAGTTAACGTTTCAAGTCCAGTATGATCTTCCTTAGAACTCCTCCATTACTTAGATTAGCCAGTGTCTTGTTTCTGTTTGTGCAATTTACCGAGTAAACTTGACAAGCATTATGCAGTGCAGGGGGGTTTTATAAACTGGTGGTTGTGGCCTTATCCCTGGACCAGAAGGTCAAGATTCAAGTCCCACCTGCCAGGCAGGCATGTTATAATATGTCTATATAATCTCTTAAATGGTTTAGGGGGAAGAGTGTCGAAAGATGACAACAAGAATGATTTTGCCAAAAGCCAAAATTAATATCCTATCCTTTAACCTATTGTGCTCTTCATACAAGGGGAGCTCAGACAATATCAGTCGAAGAGAACCCACTAAAACAAAGCTCTCCTTGTTGCCACCACAAGGCAAATGCAAGCTTACTGTTCTTTGATCTTTTGTGTAAATATTTCAGAAACCGAGAAACCACAAATTATCCCCAAAATGGCCACTTGTGAATATAACGTTTTTAGTATTCAGCCTATTGAGTAACAGGGAATACCACACTGTGAACACAATGAAAGCTGTGATGAGCATTAAAGGCTTACGCTGTCAGCAGCATAACAGTTCCTTTACATTATAACTGACATGGTTCTCCTAAAATTGGACTCTCCAAAGTATTAATTGGCTGGAGCCTGAATGTGCTTAATTACAAAATAAAATATGGCCCAAGTATATTCTGCAGATTTTCGTTTTTTTGTTTCTATAACTGGGTCAAGATCTACTAGACTTTTCACTCTAATTACATAAAGTATGAAAACAATTTCTTACAATTATCTTGTCTTGGTTTGTAAAGTAATTCTCAGATTCCATTCTTACCTTTAAGAGATCTATTTCTTTGATGCAATCTTGACGAGCTTTGGCATCCATCATTTCAAATATCTGGAAGAAATAGTAATTCAAGTATTTCTATTCATGCTCAATACACAATAAAAGTACAATAGATTCATTCCACTTCCTTCAAATCATAAAGACCCACATTTTCTCTGTATTAAAACCTTAATTCAAAATGAAGCAAAAATGAGGATTTTTATAGAATCTCAAAATTCAAAATAAATTCAAGAAAAGAAAGAGCAGGATTTAATCAACAAAAAATAACTTTGTATCAATCAAAATATGGGAACATGTCTGGCTTGAAAATGGTTTTCATAGCATGCTTGAATTTCATGTTGTACACGAGCAAAGTTCTAGTATAGTTCCAGTATCGCATATTGAGTGTCAAAGCTATAGAGTTACAAAGATTGCTTAAAACAGTAGCTTATATTTCAACTTTAGGAATTTGAAAAGGAGTTACAAAGATATCATTCCAGACAAGGTGGGAAATTATTTCTAAGAAAATAGTTTGTATTATTTTCCTTTACTGCTTTAATCTACCTCACTGAGGCAACACGCTGGAAATCAAGCTCCATAATTGCCAGAGTTGACACAAAAGTTAAAGATTTTTTTTAAGAGAAGTGTGCAGCATTCTCCCATTTGCCTATCTTTTTAACCCTGGTTAACAAAGCATGGAGCAGGTTTCTGGACTTAACAAGAATGACTATTTACAACTGGACTCTATTTGCTTGTAATAAACCAACAATTGCGACCTGTTGGCATACAATTCTACAAACTGAAACTCTAATCCCCTTATAATCTCCCTTTTCTTACTCCCTTTCAAATACAGACAGAAGAAAAACATGCGTATTATGGACAAACAGAAAGACTGGGAAGGCAGCTCAGTGATTCCTAAGATAGATCTTGTGATTCATGTTCTGGCCTGAATGCTGCTTCTGTTATCCTTCTCTGGATGCTTCCACCAGTTTGTAAGAGGCACAGTTGGTTGGTTCACTTATAAAAAGTCTGATTCTCAATTAAAAAGTCACAGATTATAGCAAATGCTGATGTAAGAAAACTGATTTTCTTCAGGCTTAAAGTGGCTTTTACTGTAGAGAACAGAGGAAGCTTATGAACTTGTAAATACCAGATGATGTTTCTGTATTTTGTTCAAGCTCCAAAATACTTGAGAACACAGTTGGTCATCAATAACCGGTCACTTGTCCATAGAACAATCAGCTCTTTTTACCAACGAGAGCTCTATCTGTACACAACCCCTCAGCTCCAGTTCATCTGCAAGCACACTTTAACTATTGCTGGAACAGCTGTGTAAACAGTGCTTACAATGAGTCAAAACATGCAGCAATCATACAAAATTCCTTTGTTTTTGAGTAATTCTCTTCTCATTTCTGTCCACGATTATAAATGCAGGAGAAAATTTTTTAAAAAGTCTTTAAAATTACATGCAGATTTTTCTTCAATGTTCCCTTAAAACACCACATTTAAATAAACAAAAGTTTGTTCACATTATAAGGAGCAGCAACATTGCACATTACCAATACTGTTTTATGTTGCCTACCTTACATAGCACAGACCAAAGTTATGAAAATAAATAAAGGCTTCCATTTATACCATTTAAAATGACGCAGGTCAAACCTGAGATAACAAGGTGTAGAGCAGGATGAACACAGCAGGCCAAGCAGCATCAGACGAGCAGGAAAGCTGACGTTTCGGGCCTAGGCCCTTCTTGTTATCTCAGATTCTCCAGCATCTGCCATTCCTACTATCTCTGAAACAGGTCAAACCTGCATAAATCTTCCTTTCTTAACCAGTATGTCCATTGCAGTGTCACCAGAAGCTTAATTTTTAAGTTGGAGAATTTATTTTCTTAGCCTCTTTCCAACTCAAATGAGGAAACGGTCTATCAAGAATTTGGTACGGTTAACATGAATTACAGCTGACTTAAATCCCAGGAAACACGGAGATGCAAGTTACAACAAAGCCCTTGGTTGAAAGATCAGCATTAAACAGCATGCAATTGGGACTTCTTTTTAAATGGGTTGGAGATACAGCAGGCTGGACAAAGGAAAAATTAATTGCTTTTAGCTATGATTAAGGGCAACACTTGAGCAACTGAACAACAACCCTAATTACTGAAACAACGACACAATGATATCAACAAGTTTCATCCCTCCATCAGACTTACCATGGACTACTCTTTAGAATCAGTCTCATTCTTAGACAAACGCATCTCCATCAAGGACGGACAACTCAAAACTTCACTCTACCGCAAGGCTACAGACAACCTCACAATGCTGTACTTCTCTAGCTTCTACCCTAAGCATATTAAAATAGCCATCCCCTACAGACAAGCCCTATGCAAATACAGGATTTGTTCAGATGAGGAGGAACACGACAGACACATGAAGGTGCTGAAGGATGCCCTCATAAGGACAGGATACGAAGCTCAACTCATCGATAACCTGTTCTGATGTGCCACAGAGAAAAACCATAATGATATCCTCAGAAGACAAGACAGGGGATACAACCAATAGGGTACCTTCATCATCATCCCGGGAGCACAGAAACTACACCATGTTGATGACAATGAGCACCTCACCATGATCTTCCCTATGCCTCCAATTCTTGCCTTCAAACAACTGCGAGACCTTAAACAGAGCGTTGTTTGCAGAAAACTACTCAGCCTTCAGGCCAACATTGACCACAACACCATATAACCTTCTCATGACACCTCTGCAAGACATGACAGATCATCGACATGGACACGACTATGACAGATGGGAACATCACCAACCACGTGCACGGAAAATACTCAGGCGACTCAGCCAACATTGTCAATCTCAGACGGTGCAGAAAAGGATGCACAAGGCATGGTACAGTGGCGAAACCATGCAGATGTTACGGCAATGGATGAATGGACATGACGCAACAATTGCCAGATACGGACATTCCCTACCAGTGGGGGATCACTACAGCTGTCAAGGACATTCTAAGGTGGACATTCAGGTAAACATCCTCCAAGTCAGACTTGGGGATACACAACAACAAAGCTTTGCCAAGCAGAGGCTAATAGCCAAGTTCAGTACCCATGAGCACTCTTTGAGGCCGTACATTGAGTTCATGTCACATCACAGGTGATTCACCACACTATTATTCTCTCACGCACGTGTGCAAACACTCGCGCCCGAACACTCGCTCTCCCACGAACACTTGCGCACTTACTCTTTCCCTTTGCCACACACACACCCTCTCCCCAACACACACAGTCCCTCTCCCAGACATACACACACACATTCTCCCTCACCCAGCCGACACACACACATTCCCTCTCTCTCTCTCACACACACACACACACACACACACACACACACACACTTCCTCTCCCACACACACAGACACACACTTCCTCTCCAAAACACACACAAACACACACACTCCCTCTCACACACACACACTATCCCTCTCCCACACACACACACAAACACTCCCTTTCCCACACACTCTCCCTCTCCCGCACACACACACACGCTCCCTCTACCACACACACAGACACTCTTCCACACACACACATACACTCCCTCACCCACGTACACAAACACTCCCTCCCCCACACACACACACACACACTCCCTCTCCCACACACACTCACTCACTATCTCGCGTGCGCATGCTCCCTCACTCACTCTCCACCTCCTGCGCGCACGCTCAATCACTCAAACTCCATCTCCCGCACGCGCGCACACTCACTCACTCTCCATCTCACGTGCACGCGCTCACTCACTCTCTGCATCTACCGCGCGCGCGACCACTCACTCTCCATCTCGCGCACGTGCACATGCTCCCTCACTCACTCTCCACCTCCCACGCGCGCGCATGCTCCCTCACTCACTCTCCATCTCCCACGCACTCGCTCATTCATTCAATCTCCATCTCGCGCGCGCACACGCTCATTCATTCAATCTCCATCTCGCGCGCGCACGCTCAATCATTCTCCATCTCCCGCACGCACGCTCACTCACTCTACATCTCGCACGCGCACACTCACTCTCCATCTGCCATGTGCAGTGCACACTCGTTCGCTCACTCTCCATCTCATGCGCGCATGCTCACACATTCTCCATCTAGTGCGCGCACGCAGTCACTCACTCTCCATTTCGCGCGCGCACGCATGCTCACTCACGCACTCTACATTGCAAGCACATGCTCACTCAATCTCCATCTCTCGCACGCACGCTCACTCATTCTGCATTTCGCGCGCATGCTCAGTCACCCTCCATTTCGCGCGTGCGCACGTTCACTCACGCACTCTCCATCTTGTGCGCGCACACGCTCGCTCACTCACTCTCCATCAGCCGCACTCACGCACACTCCCTCACTCACTCTCCAATTCCCGCACGCGCGCGCGAACACTTACTCTCCATCTCGCGGGCGCACACTCTCTCCACCTTGCGCGTGCGCACTCCATCTCGCACACGCTCACTCACTCTCCATCTCGCGTGCGCGAACTCGCTCACTCACTCTCCATTGCAAGCGTGCACTCACTCACTCTACATCTCGCACACGCACACTCACTCTCCATCAGCTGCACGTGCACGCTCGTTCACTCACTCTCCATCTCGCGTGCACGCACTCTCTCTCACTCACTCACACTCTCCATCTCACGCGCACACGCTCAGTCACTCTCTCCATCTTGCCCACACGCACACTCACTCTACATCTGCTGCATGCGCATGCTCTCTCACTCACTCTCCATCTCCTGCGCGCAAACTCGCTCACTCAACCTCCATCTCATGTGCGCACGCTCACTCACTCTCCATCACAAGCGCACTCACTCTACATCTCGCACGCGCACACTCACTCTCCATCTGCTGCGCGTGCACGCTCGTTCGCTCACTCTCCATCTCGCGTGCACGCACGCTCTCTCTCACTCACTCTCCATCTCGCGCGTGCACGCTCAGTCACTCACTCTCCATCTTGCCCACGCGCGCACACACTCGTTCGCTCACTCCATCTCGCGTGCACGCATGCTCTCTCACTCACTCACTCGC